CCTAACTGCTCCCCTGCCTGCCTGATCACCCTTAACCACCTCTGCCTGCCTTCCTGATCACCCCTAACTGCTCTCCCCTGCAGGCCTGATCACCCCTGACTGCCTCTACCTCGGCCTCTGCCACTGTGGCTTTGTCTGGAAGGACGTCTGGAAGACATCCAGTCTATCTGGTCTAATTAGTATATTACCCTTTTATTAGTATAGATACATTTTTATATTCATTCATCTATCAGTGGACATTTAGGTTGTTTCCACCTATTGGCTATTGTGAATGCTGCTGCTATGAATATTGATCCCTCTTTTGTTATTTTGGGAATACACCATAGAGTGAAATTTCTGGGTCATATAGTAATTCTGTGTTTAATTTTTTGAGAAAACATCGAAGTGTTTTCTACATCACTGCACCATTTTACATTCCCATCAACAGTGTACAAGGGTTCCAATGTCTCCACATCCTCACCAACACTTGTTATTTTCCCTTTCTTTGATGATAGCCGTCCTAATGGGTATGAAGTGATATCTTATTGCAGTTTTGATTTGCATTGCCCTAATGACTAATGATGTGGAGCATCTTTTTAGGTGCTTATTGGCCACCTGTATATCTTCTCTGGAGAAATGTCTATTCAAGTGTTTTACCTATTTTTTAAAATATATTTTTATTGATTTCAGAGAGGAAGGAAGAGGCGGAGAGAGAGAGAGAGAGAGAGAGAGAGAGAGAGAGAGAGAGAGAGACATCACTGATGAGAATCATTGATTGGCTGCCTCCTGCACATCTCACACTGGGGATCGGAGAGTGGAAGAGAGAGGGAAAGACAGAAACAACAATGTGAGAGAAACACATTGATTAGTTGCCTCCTTCACAAGCCCGGACCAGGGCCCAGGCCAGGGAGGAGCTTGCAACTGAGCCCTTGACTGGAATCGAACCCATGCCCCTTCGGTTCACAGGCCGACACTCTATCCACTGAGCAAAACCGGCTAGGGCCGTTTTACCCATTTTTGAACTGAGTTGTTTGTCCTCGAAATTTTTGAAAAGCTTCAATCTTGGATATTTAATCATTTCTAAAGTCAGTGACCCTTATTACTAATTATATTCCCTTATTCCCAAATGAACAAATTTCACATTAAATTTAACTGAATTTTGAGTACCGACTTCTTCCACTCTAAGAATTGTAAATTTTTACTAATTAAATACTATAATAGAATCGTTTTAGTTGCATTTAAAAAATTGATTTGCTACTGCACATATATATTATATATGTATATGTGTGTGTGTGTGTGTGTGTATATATATATATATATGTTATTTTGCTGCACTTGGTAAAAATTTAATTATATAAAAGTGTTTACCTAAAAATTTAATCTTGGATCTTTCAATAGTAATTTTATATTTACCCTTCAACTTTAGAGTTAAGGTTTTGGGCTGTGAATACAATGTTCAAATGGATATTAACTGATTTATTCAATTATTCCTACCAGTTTCTAATCTAAAGAAGTTCAGGGGTGCCCTACCCAGTTTGGCTCAATGAATAGGGCGTCGGCCCACGGAATGAAGGGTTCCGGTTCCATTCTGATCAAGGGCATGTGCCTCAGCTGCAGTCTCCACCTGCAGAGGCAACCAATCGATGTGTTCCTCTTACTTTGATGTTTCTCTCACTGTGTCTCTCTCCCTCCCACTCTCTCTAAAAACCAATAGAAAAATATTCTCAGGTGAAGATTTTTGTAAAAGTGTGCATGGATGTCAAGTTGACAAGAGTTGGACTGGAGTGATTTTGTTCTTAAGCAGGAACTACATTTCCCATAATTCTCTTTTATGATTTTGGTTTTGCTTGGCTATGATAGAAATTTGCAGATTTAAGTGAAAGTAAAGCACCAGCCATTATACTTGGAAGGTCCATGCAGGGTCCCAGGCACCATTGCAATTTTGCACATGATCTGCTGATTCACCTCATTGCAAGAGGCAGCAGCAGGGCCTGCAGCTCCTCCAGCTCATGTCCTGGATGAGGCACATATGTAGCAAATCTCAATCTCTCTCTCTCTCCTTCTCTTCTCTCTCTCTCTCTCTCTCTCTCTCTCTCTCTATATATATATATATCCCCAAAATGTATACACACTTGAACAGCTGCTAGCTTAATTTTGAAATTGAAATGTATTTTAATAAACACTGCCTTTATAATTATTCAAAGTGTGTGTATACATTTTTGGGGGGACTAGGTGGATAGAGATATATCCTATTGGTTCTGTTTTTCTGGTGAATGCTAGTACACTCCCTTATACGGTAAAAGAATGCTGAACACAATTGAAGTTCTGGTCTTGAGATACCCCTGGGGCAGTGGAAATCCATGGCTCTGAGCTCACACAGAAAAGAGTTCGGTGGCATAAATGATTTATGGTCTTGGAACCTGATTCCTCATCTGTGGAATTGAGATCAAATGGTTACGTATGTGGCTATGTAGGGTTGAGTTCAACATTGTATGTAGAATACCTATTATGGCTCACAGTAGGTGGATAGCAAATGTTAGCTTCCCACTCTGCTGAGGGGAGATGTGTTTAGTTAGTGCCCCGAGTCTTATTAAACGACTTAATTGAACTGAGTCTCTTCCATATTAACGTGATGTAGTTATTTGGCATATACTCTCTGGTATCACACCAATACCAGCTTCTGGATGGTTAGCTGTATTTGAGGTCAGTTCTGCCATGTATCTGTGTAAAATCTAGGGTAAGTTATGTTTCCCTGAGACTAATTTCAATTTAAATACTACTACCTCAGGATTGTTTTTCTTCTTTTTCTCTTCCTCCTCCTTTCTGTTATAATAGGAGAAAGTGTTTAGCTTAATATTAAGCATACAGTAGATGCTCAGTACATCTACTAAATATTGTGGGAATATTAATTAGGGTGTCAAAGATGAGTTGGGAGCTTAGCATTTAGTGAAGTCAAATACATGAAACTACAGTGTAAGTTATATTTCTTTTAACAGTAGAGAGCAAACAAAGTAGAAAAATACCCACGGCAGAGATAGGAAGTTTAAAGTGATATAAAGGAAACAGATGCCACGGAAAGATGATAAAACGCCTTGCAGACATTTGTTGATTTATGGGACCATGCGCATTTAGTACCGCTCGCATGGTAATGGCTATGCAGTACTTCCCACCTTGCCAGTGGCTAGTCACAGCAGATAAGTGGAAGGGTGGGTGCCCTGAGCGCAGAGCCAAATTAACAATTTTGCCAGCAGGGGAGAGCTGGCTCCTGCTGACGTCCTGAGGCTGGAATGAATTTGGAACAATGTGTTGCAGCTGAAAAGCTTTGACAGTTCAAGGAGAAACGTGAAGAAAGGAACCTGCAACTTACATATCCAGCTTACAAACCAGGTCAAGAGTTCTTTACATTCTCATGCTTTCTACAGACCAACGCCAACAAACAACAGTTGGTAAAAGGGCAAGCTACCTCCTCTTCCCCTTTGTCTTCTCAATAGCACCCTTTCTCATCTTCCCGTGCACTCTTTTCTCAGTCTCGGTGTTTTCCCTCCACCCCTAGCCCCCTCCTCACCCCCGCATTATCGGCTCCCCAGTTCTCCGCGTGGCCGGCACCCGCACTGCCAGGGAA